AATGGCAATGCAGCAACAACGCCAAAAGCAGCAACAATGGCAATGCAGCAAAAATGCCAATGTAGCAACAATGCCAATGAAGCAACAATGCCAATGTAGCAACTACCCCAATGCAGCAACAATGCCAATGCAGCAGCAATGCCAATGTCGCAACAATGCCAATGTAGCAACAATGCCAATGCAGCAACAACGCCAATGCAGCAACAATGGCAATGCAGCAACAATGCCAATGTCGCAACAATGCCAATGTAGCAACAATGCCAATGCAGCAACAACGCCAATGTAGCAACAATGCCAATGAAGCAACAATTGCAATGCAGCAAGAATGACAATGCAGCAACAACGCCAATGCAGCAACAATGGCAATGCAGCAACAATGCCAATGTAGCAACAATGCCAATGCAGCAACAACGCCAATGCCGCAACAATGGCAATGCAGCAACAATGCCAATGTAGCAACAATGCCAATGTAGCAACAATGCCAATGCAGCAACAATGGCAATGCAGTAGCAATGAAAATGAAGCAACAACAATGTCAATGCAGCAACAATGGCAATGCAGCAGCAATGAAAATGAAGCAACAATGCCAATGCAGCAACAATGCCAATGTAGCAACAATGCCAATGCCGCAACAATGGCAATGCAGCAACAATGGCAATGCAGCAGCAATGCCAATGTAGCAAAAATGCCAATGTAGCAACAATGCCAATGCAGCGACAATGGAAATGCAGCAACAATACCAATGTAGCAACAATGCCAATGTAGCAACAATGCCAATGCAGCGACAATGCCAATGCAGCAACAATGGCAATGCAGCAACAATGCCAATCTACCAACAATGCCAATGCAGCAACAATGCAAATGTAGCAACAATGGCAATGCAGCAACAACGCCAATGCAGCAACAATGGCAATGCAGCAACAACGCCAATGTAGCAACAATGCCAATGAAGCAACAATGGCAATGCAGCAACAATGACAATGCAGCAACAACACCAATGCAGCAACAATGCCAATGTAGCAACAATGCCAATGCAGCAACAACGCCAATGCAGCAACAATGGCAATGCAGCAACAATGACAATGAAGCAACAACGCCAATGCAGCAACAATGCCAATGTAGCAACAATGCCAATGCAGCAACAACGCCAATGCAGCAACAATGGCAATGCAGCAACAACGCCAATGTAGCAACAATGCCAATGTAGCAACAATGCCAATGCAGCAACAATGGCAATGCAGCAACAATGCCAATGTAGCAACAATGCCAATGTAGCAACAATGCCAATGCAGCAACAATGCCAATGTAGCAACAATGCAAATGCAGCAACAACGCCAATGTAGCAACAATGGCAATGCAGCAACAACGCGAATGCAGCAACAATGCCAATGAAGCAACAATGCCAATGCAGCAGCAATGCCAATGTAGCAACAATGCCAATCCAGCAACAATGCCAATGTAGCAACATCGCCAATGTAGCAACAATACCAATTACAGCAGCAATGCCAATGCAGCAACAATGCCAATGTAGCAACAATACCAATGCAGCAACAACGCCAATGCAGCAACAATGGCAATGCAGCAACAATGCCAATGTAGCAACAATGCCAAAGTAGCAACAATGCCAATGCAGCGACAATGCCAATGCAGCAACAATGGCAATGCAGCAACAATGCCAATCTACCAACAATGCCAATGCAGCAACAATGCAAATGTAGCAACAATGGCGATGCAGCAACAACGCCAATGCAGCAACAATGCAAATGTAGCAACAAGGGAAATTCAGAAACAATCCCAATGTATCAACTACGCCAATGCAGCAACAATGGCAATGCAGAAACATTGCCAATGTAGCAACAATGCCAATGCAGCAACTATGCCAATGCAGCAACAACGCCAATGTAGCAACAATGCCAATGTAGCAACAATGCCAATGCAGCAGCAATGCCAATGCAGCAGCAATGCCAATGCAGCAACAATGCCAATGCAGCAGCAATGCCAATGCAGCAACAATGGCAATGCAGCAACAATGCCAATGTAGCAACAATGCCAATGTAGCAACAATGGCAATGCAGCAACAATGCCAAAAGCAGCAACAATGGCAATGCATCAAAAATGCCAATGTAGCAACAATGCCAATGAAGCAACAATGCCAATGTAGCAACTACGCCAATGCAGCAACAATGCCCATGCAGCAGCAATGCTAATGCAGCAACAATGCCAATGCAGCAACAATGGCAATGCAGCAACAATACCAATGTAGCAACAATGCCAATGCAGCAACAACGCCAATGCAGCAACAATGGCAATGCAGCAACAATGCCAATGTAGCAACAATGCCAATGTAGCAACAATGCCAATGCAGCAACAATGGCAATGCAGCAACAATGCCATTGTAGCAAAAATGCCAATGTAGCAACAATGCCAATGCAGCAACAATGCCAATGTAGCAACAATGCCAATGCAGCAACAACGCCAATGCAGCAACAATGACAATGAAGCAACAACGCCAATGAAGCAAAAATGGCAATGCAGCAACAATGGCAATGCAGCAACAACGCGAATGCAGCAACAATGCCAATGCAGCAACAATGCCAATGCAGCAGCAATGCCAACGTAGCAACAATGCCAATGCAGCAACAATGCCAATGTAGCAACAATGCAAATGTAGCAACAAGAGCAATGCAGCAACAATGCCAATGTAGCAACAATGCAAATGTAGCAACAAGAGCAATGCAGAAACAATGCCAATGTAGCAAAAATGCCAATGCAGCAACAATGGCAATGCAGCAACAATGGCAATGCAGCAACAATGGCAATGCAGCAGCAATGCCAATGTAGCAACAATGCCAATGTAGCAAGAATGCCAATGCAGCAACAATGCCAATGTAGCAACAATGCCAATGTAGCGACAATGCCAATGTAGCAACAATGCCAATGCAACAACAATGCCAATGCAGCAACAATGCCAATGAAGCAACAATGCCAATGCAGCAACAATGGCAATGTAGCAACAACATCAATGTAACAACAATGCCAATCCAGCAACAATGGCAATGCAGCAACAATGCCAATCCAGCAACAATGCCAATGCAGCAACAATGCCAATGTAGCAACAACACCAATGTAACACCAATGTAGCAACAATGCCAATGTAGCAGCAATGCCAATGCAGCAACAATGCCAATGTAGCAACAATGCCAATGTAGCAACAATGCCAATGCAGCAACAATGGCAATGCAGCGACAATGCCAATGCAGCAACAATGCCAATGTGACTAACTGATAATACACCCAAGGAAAGCATTTCGTACCAGACAGGATTTCGTCTTTCTTTTAGGGACTTTTCTTAAGTTTTGTCAAGAAACATGTTGTCAGGTGCATGAAATAAACAAATTAAGTGAAAAATATATTTAGATTCCTATCTAAATCAGAATTAAGGTAGTCGATGCAACTGGCCAATGGTGCCAGTTGCATCGAAGTTAAGAACTGAGGGTAAATACATGCAAAGTGTTTTATATTAAATATGCTTAGATTAATTATAAGAGCACTGGTTTTCTCCCACATACAAAACAATACAAAAATACGTTCACTTATCAATATTATTTTCAGTACAACCTCACAAGGCTCAGTGATAATTTTTGGTAAAAATTTTGCTATTGAATCACTCAAATCGTGCATGTTCTTTAAATAGTACATCAAATATTAAATATTTACATGTCATACTTACCAAATTTCGAAATACTTCTACAAAATCTTTATATTCAGGTGAATTTTGATTTCCATAGTCGGGTGTATAATTAAAATTCATTATTTGTATGTCAACTATTGTTGTTTTCAAAGTGTTAATATCTGTAATAAACAAAACATATGTGATGTATGCAATACATGAGAAAGTAAACATACCCTACGTTTTAGCTAACAACTCTTTACCAGTCATTTAGGCTTCTGGAATACAGTCTTATACATAACAATCCCTAATAGAGGTTTTTTTGGGTTAGATTTTTTGGGGTCTAACCCAAAAAAACTCTTATGGATGATATTGGTCGCGAAAGCCTACAGTACGTGTTAAACTAAATAACAATCCCGTTTGCACTGTTAACGGCAACATGTAGTCATTCATTATGAACTGCAGCACTTAAAGCACACACAAATTTTATTTCAAAGGCTATACAATTTCCGTGATAATGAAAAACATAGAATCAGAAATGACCGGATTAGCTGTCTTTCCTCACAATTATACAAAAAGTGAACTGCTAAAGTGTAATTTTGGTCTGTGTTATTACAAGTGGGTCACTTCATGCAGCCAACCTTTATCCCAGTTAATAATTAAACACCGGAAATAATTACAAAACATTACTGTAACACAAGTGTTTCCTGGAAATTTACTGTAAAGTTGTTTGGAAATTGTTTCATTTTCTGCATCACTAAAATGATGTACTTACTTGGTTCCACCACATTTTGAATGTTTTCACAATATGTTCCAGTAAATGGGGCTTGACATTGACAAGTGTTATTCGTACATTCTGGTATGCCTCCATTTTTACATTCTATGCACGGGTCTGGAAAAAAAGAAATAGATTCTCATACATAAGTGAGTTCAAACCATTGTCACTTCTTTAATGACACACATTTAAATACGGCATTTATAAAATATGTAAATAATTGCAAAAGTATCTCGTGATTGCTGTATAAACGAAACAGCTTAAACATATCTTAAAATATATAAATCAATGCTTTTGCAGCAACCAAGCAGTTTAGTATACAGTTGATTTATGCAAAATGTTTATTTTTACTTTGAAATGCAAGGTCTTTCAGCCTCTCTGCTGCTCTGCTGATGAATGGAGGCTTTTACTTACTCTAAATGTTACGATCGCAGTGAATTACCATCTTTATCAAGAAATTTGAAAATCGTTCACATATAAAGTGGCCACAATTTTACAAAAGCCACTTAACCTCGTTTTGGTTATCAGCAGCCATGCGTTTTTTAAAACTATTTTTTTATAAAGTCTGTGAGTTATGCCACAGGCTGAATAGGAACAAATGTAAAGGCAATTTGGTTGCTGAAGCAGAAGCTCTTGCAATGTGTGGTGGAATGAGGCCAGAGGAATGAACATTGTCAAATAAGATATTGCATTTACCTGTGGTTGGTTTTGTAGTTTTAGTTGTAGTGGCGGTAGTCGTTTTAGTAGAAGGGGCTGTCGGTGGGGGCGTACTCAGTGTATTTGTTGGGGATGTTGTACGTGTGAGGGAGGAGGAATCTGTTGCCGCTGATTGTGCTGTGTTTGCTGATGGTGAAGTGCTTGGGCCTGTTGGACCTACAGGCGGAGTGGCCCCTGACAGTGGTGATGTAGGTGACGCGTAAGCAGCAGTTGCTGTGTTTGCTGATGGTGAAGTGCTTGGGCCTGTTGGACCTACAGGCGGAGTGGCCCCTGACAGTGGTGATGTAGGTGATGCGTGAGCAGCAGTTGCTGTGTTTGCTGATGGTGAAGTGCTTGGGCCTGTTGGACCTACAGGCGGAGTGGCCCCTGACAGTGGTGATGTAGGTGACGCGTAAGCAGCAGTTGCTGTGTTTGCTGATGGTGAAGTGCTTGGGCCTGTTGGACCTATAGGCGGAGTGGCCCCTGACAGTGGTGATGTAGGTGACGCGTAAGCAGCAGTTGCTGTGTTTGCTGATGGTGAAGTGCTTGGGCCTGTTGGACCTACAGGCGGAGTGGCCCCTGACAGTGGTGATGTAGGTGACGCGTAAGCAGCAGTTGCTGTGTTTGCTGATGGTGAAGTGCTTGGGCCTGTTGGACCTACAGGCGGAGTGGCCCCTGACAGTGGTGATGTAGGTGATGCGTAAGCAACAGTTGCTGTGTTTGCTGATGGTGAAGTGCTTGGGTCTGTTGGACCTACAGGCGGAGTGGCCCCTGACAGTGGTGATGTAGGTGACGCGTAAGCAGCAGTTGCTGTGTTTGCTGATGGTGAAATGCTTGGGCCTGTTGGACCTACAGGCGGAGTGGCCCCTGACAGTGGCGATGTAGGTGACGCGTAAGCAGCAGTTGCTGTGCTTGCAGATGGTGATGATTCTGAAGCATTTGGATCTGATGCACTTACAGATCCAGTGGAATATGATAGTGGTGATGTCGCTGAAATGTAATCAGTAGTGGCTGTGTTTGCAGATGGTGATGATTCTGAAGCATTTGGATCTGATGCACTTACAGATCCAGTGGAATCCGATAGTGGTGATGTCGCTGAAACGTAATCAGTAGTGGCTGTGTTTGCAGATGGTGATGATTCTGAAGCATTTGGATCTGATGCACTTACAGATGCAGTGGAATCCGATAGTGGTGATGTCACTGAAACGTAATCAGTAGTGGCTGTGTTTACTGATGGTGATGATTCTGAAGCAGTTGGATCTGATGCACTTACAGATTCAGTGGAATCCGATAGTGGTGATGTCACTGAAACGTAATCAGTAGTGGCTGTGTTTACTGATGGTGATGATTCTGAAGCAGTTGGATCTGATGCACTTACAGATTCAGTGGAATCCGATAGTGGTGATGTCGCTGAAACGTAATCAGTAGTGGCTGTGTTTACTGATGGTGATGATTCTGAAGCAGTTGGATCTGATGCACTTACAGATTCAGTGGAATCCGATAGTGGTGATGTCGCTGAAATGTAATCAGTAGTGGCTGTGTTTACTGATGGTGATGATTCTGAAGCAGTTGGATCTGATGCACTTACAGATCCAGTGGAATCCGATAGTGGTGATGTAGCTGAAACGTAATCAGTAGTGGCTGTGTTTACTGATGGTGATGATTCTGAAGCAGTTGGATCTGATGCACTTACAGATTCAGTGGAATCCGATAGTGATGATGTCGCTGAAACGTAATCAGTCGTTGCTGCGTTTGCAGATGGTGATGATTCTGAAGCACTTGATGGTGTGTTTTGTGTTGGTGATGTGCTGACATCTAATGTAGTTTCTGATCCAATGTCCGGTGATGTTGAGGAATCTGATTGAAATTCTGATGTGAATGCAGTACTGTCTGAGATAGCATCTGATGATGAAGAGCCTTCTGTTGATGATGCGTCTGTGGGATATGTGTCGTATGTTGTGTCTTCTGCTGGTGTGCCTGTTGAATAAGAACATGGATACATTAAGTAAGCTTGTGTAATCATATTTGCACTATTTTGTAAGCTTTCAGATGGGCTTCTCAAAATCTGCCATTTAGAAAAACGAATTAACAGAAACAATGTTTTATAACCCACTGCCAGAATTAAAACTTTACACGAAATGTTAAGGTCTTGGAGATGACCTGAGTTGAATTCTTGGCTATGGCTAACTTCAGTGGTGAGTGACATCTTGACTCATCCTGGGCCTCTATTTCACCAACCCGCATTGACTAGCGTGGTGAAGTATGGTAAAACTCAATGTAAAAAAAAAAATCCCCATTGACTGGCACGGGAATTGGGAGGTTTTGTGAATAAAGCAGTGGATTTACAAAGGGCTGTAGATTATGATGAGTAGCACAAATAGACAACATGACGAAAGCAATGAACGGACCCATTCTCATCAGGGCAACATGTAATAAGGGAGGCAGTTCTTATCTAAAAACAACTTTGATAGAGCAGAGCGTTATATACTAAGTCCTTTGAAATTGACTGCTTTGAATTTGACTTATTTAAAAGTCTCCTAAATAATTAATATGTTAAAAGATAGCCAGGTACAGATTACAAATAGATGCAAATGACAATTATTTGGCAGTTCGTGATGTCACGGCGAGTAGTTAAAGCCCATAAACACTGAATTTACAAGTAAACTACCTGATGAAGCTCAAAACCATGCTGATTTATGTTGATGTTATATTCAGTAATGAAAAGTCTTTTCATTAGCACATATTAATGATATTATTGTAAACATGACAACCTAGTCGGATGGTGGAGGGTTAACGACCATAATTTAGCCTTTTGGCCCTACCCCTGAAACAAATATGGATCGTTGTATTTTCTACAACAAAAAAACATACGTTTTACGTTTCGCGGTCAACGATTGTTCTTACATTTAATTAAAATCTAGCCCCAAAGCAGCAATCAGAATTATGGAAAATTAATACCAATATCTATTCAACATTTTCACGAATAATAATTTTCAGTCGTTATTAATCCACTGCTGAATGGAGGCCTCACCATACCGTGTCCGTCATATATGTTGTTTGATCATACTTTACCAAGTTGATCAATTGTGGTTTGGTCCAGGACCGGTTCAAATGGAGTTAACTGTGGCTGGGAATTGAATTCAGTAAACCAGGTTTATGATGCAGTGCACTAACCACTGCATTGCTGCTCCACCATATAAAACTATTTTAGTGAACAAGGGTAATGTTCTTTTTTTGCAAGCCAGTATATTTAATTTAACAGTGGAAACCATTGAGCTCCTCATATAATTTTCAAGATGCTCTTGGCTAGATTGCATAAATATATAAATGTTAAACCAGCAGACAGAACCAATTCATACGGCACACCATTTCAAAAAATAACTTTAGTCATCGTAAACAAATATAGGGCGTTAAAATGCATCTCTGATTAGCACGGTTGGCTACGTACGGTGCGAAAGAAGTTCAACATACGTACAAATGGCATGTAGTATTGTCTTATAAACTGTTATAATATTCAAAAATGTTATAATATTATTTAAAAACAAAGTATACATTAATGAATGATGTATGTGGAAAAAGGGACGCATTTTGAATCAGGTAATACTAATAACCAAGTAAACCTTATCTGTTTAATAGTTACATGTACAGGCTACGTAAACTGCTCCAGAGTTTACTGTCAAAGAAATGGTAGTTGTTAACAGTGATATAATTGCAGACAAGCTAAGGCATAACACAGCAGCTGTCTCAAACTGTACTACTGTTGCACGATAGACAATAGAATTCCTCCGGGATTGATATATATATTCAGTTCCTACGATTTCCACACAGCACGATCCCCACACCTCCCATTATCACCGTTGGCTACGTATGGTGCAAAATAAGTTTAGCATACATACATGGTGCTTCTTATATGGGCAAATCCCATGTTAACATTTTCATTCATTCTAATGGAATTCTAACAGGGAAGATTCCACCAATGGAAGATTCCACAAATATAGAACATTTCTGATCATGGCGATGAGCTTTCTGTTCGTGATGCTCTGAGAGAAATTGATAATAATTCTGATGCCGATGCAGTTCTTACTCCCTGTTGCCGTTACCTATATAATATAATTCAGTGGTGATTTCTGTTATAGAGTATCGGCCAGCTGGAATCGGTGTCAATATCAGTGAGTTGGCATTGCCCACAATCACCAGTGAAATGTATTACATAAGCATCGGCCGTGAATAATAAATGGCAATTCCACTAGGCTGGTGCTGCCCCCACCCCAAACCTGTCCACAATTCCACGATTCTAATCTAATTTTATATCTAGAGAGCGCCTTCACTCGAGGCACTTGACATAGTTTTTTTTTTAACGATGACCATGACAGAATTATGTAGATGCTAGGGACTTACAAGGGCTTGAGGAATGAGTGGCCGTGATAGAGAGGGTGCTAAGGGATCACGAAAGAGTAGGGGAGGGACGGGAAGGAGTGCAGGGGCGAGGGGAGAGGAAGAGAAAGGGCGATGGAGAAAGAGGTGAGGCTTTAAGAGAGGAACGGAAGGAGGTTAAGGAGGGAGGACTGCTCATTGTGCAGGGGAAGTTGATTCCAGTGGAGGGGTGCAACGGAGGGAGAAGGACCGAAAACGGGATTGTGCACAGGGAGATGGATGGACAGAAAGAGAGCCAGATAGAAGATTGGGAATTAAGAGGATGAGAAGGGACAAGATTCCACCAATCATAATCACGAACGGTATCCATTTTCAGAATTAATTTGTGACTCCAGGCTAGAAATTGTGAAAATCACCCAGCGCTAATAGCCATGTTCTGAATAACTTTGCACTTAAAAAACAGCAGACTGAAACTTTAAACAAACATTGCCTAAAGCTAATGTTGAAACTCACTGGCTTGGGTTTGAGATTTCATGACACGTGCAGTCAGGATGAGCATGGCGATCATTGCCCATTGGTTCTTCATGTTTGATGTCTGAAAGTGAGAAAGGTCCCGTTAAACTAGTCCACACACACAAAGAAACATTTTTTAATTATAGCATATGATAAAGTACAATCGTATAACACTGAGAAACAACAACATAATGTTAACCATTTTGGATTATGAAATAATCCCAAGAAGGAGAAAATGGTTAGAACATTTAATTTCTAATTTCTAAATTCTTATTTTTATATTTGCACTTAACTAAGCTAAAAAACCTCATAAAAATGCAAAACTGCACAATATAATACAATGTTCGAAAATAAGAGAATATAACCCCATTGTCGTCTTACCAAGAATGAGGTTTTTTTTTACTTTACAAGTAAAGTCGAATTAACGTTACATAGCTTCTTTGCCTGTACTCTTAAAAAAAAAGTTTACCATTCCACAGGCAAGTTAAATGTTCTTACATTGTCAAATTCCAACTGGCTTTATATAGCCTGTTCACCAACCACGTGTTTTGATGACGTTGCGCTGCAGTGCAAGGTTCATTCTTTAAAAAGCAGTAAATTACGCGCAAAGGCTTTCCTGCATATTTTGTCTACTATGCTTTTCAACACAACACTGAAATTTAGTTTTATATATGCTGTAGGATGGAAATCATGGTCATAATAAGCTATACTCTCAAATCAAATAAATCCCAAAAATAGTTAATGCATAACACATTTGTCTCTCATGCCCGAGTTTGTTAAACACGAGATGTTAAGTCTCGTGATGGCAAAATGTTGTTCACCCTTATCAATACAGCACTGTACTCTCAATTGAAATATTGATTAAAGTAATGAGTTTGGTAATACACGTAGATAGGTTCAAAGAAAATAACAAAAAATAACAAAAAACTACGACGTTTCAATGGCAACACAAGCAGTCGTCTTCAGGAAAAGCGGGGTTAGCTTCTAAGGCAAACTGTTTACAGTGAGGGAAAAAAGTATTTGATCCCCTGCTGATTTTGTACGTTTGCCCACTGACAAAGAAATGATCAGTCAATAATTTTAATGGTAGCTTTATTTGCACAGTGAGAGACAATAACAAAATCCAGAAAAACGCATGTCTAAAATGTTATAAATTGATTTGCATTTTAATGAGGGAAATAAGTATTTGACCCCTCTGCAAAACATGACTTAGTACTTGGTGGCAAAACCCTTGTTGGCAATCGCAGAGATCAGACGTTTCTTGTAGTTGGCCACCAGGTTTGCACACATCACAGGAGGGATTTTGTCCCACTCCTCTTTGCAGATCTTCTTAATGTTTCGAAGATGACGTTTGGCAACTGGAACCTTCAGCTCCCTCCACAGATGTTCTATGGGATTAAGGTCTGAAGACTGGCTAGGCCACTCCAAGACCTTAATGTGTTTCTTCTTGAGCCACTCCTTTGTTGCCTTGGCCGTGTGTTTTGGGTCATTGTCATGCTGGAATACCCATCCACGACCCATTTTCAATGCCCTGGCTGAGGGAAGGAGGTACATGGCCCCGTCCATCGTCCCTTTGATGCGGTGAAGTTGTCCTGTCCCCTTAGCAGAAAAACACCCCCAAAGCATAATGTTTCCACCTCCATGTTTGACGGTGGGGATAGTGTTCTTGGGGTCATAGGCAGCATTCCTCCTCCTCCAAACACGGCGAGTTGAGTTGATGCCAAAGAGCTCCATGTTGGTCTCATCTGACCACAACACTTTCACCCAGTTCTCTGAATCATTCAGATGTTCATTGGCAAACTTCAGACGGGTTTTCTTGAGCAGGGGGACCTTGCGGGCGCTGCAGGATTTCAGTCCTTCACGGCGTAGTGTGTTACCAATTGTTTTCTTGGCGACTATGGTCCCAGCTGCCTTGAGATCATTGACAAGATCCTCCCATGTAGTTCTGGGCTAATTCCTCACCGTTCTCATGATCATTGCAACTCCACGAGGTGAGATCTTGCATGGAGCCCCAGGCCGAGAGAGATTGACAGTTCTTTTGTGTTTCTTCCATTTGCGAAGAATCGCACCAGCTGTTGTCACCTTCTCACCAAGCTGCTTAGCAATGGTCTTGTAGCCCATTCCAGCCTTGTGTAGATCTACAATCTTGTCCCTGATATCCTTGGAGAACTCTTTGGTCTTGGCCATGGTGGAGAGTTTGGAATCTGATTGGTTGATTGCTTCTGTGGACAGGTGTCTTTTATACAGGTGTAGTGCCTTGGATTCACTCGGACGACAATCGCCTTTCTTCCATCGTCACTTTCATTTCCATCGTTCCGCACACACACTATATATAATTTCACACACACACTATATATAATTTCACACACACTATATATAATCACACACACACACACACTATATATAATTTCACACACACACACTATATATAATTTCACACACACACTATATATAATTTCACACACACACACACACTATATATAATTTCACACACACACACTATATAATTTCACACACACTATATAATGTATCCTCTACGTGCTCCGCCAACTCGAACACTTGAATTCCCCTCAGCACCGTCCGCTCATACTCCTTGTCTCCCCACACAGTCTCTTCTTCACTCCCCACACACACAGTGGTTCTATCTCCTCACACACAGTGACTCGTCTTTCTCTTCACACGCAGTGACTTGTCTATCTCTTCACACACAGTGACCTGACTATCTCCTCACACACAGTGACTCGTCTATCTCCTCACACACAGTGACTCGTCTATCTCTTCACACACAGTGACTTGTCTATCTCTTCACACACAGTGACTTATCTATCGCTAACTCTCTCTGTACCTACCTATACCGTAACTTCCCCTCTGCTCATGCTAACTCTCGCTATCGCTATTTATTGTCCTCTGGGTTCGGCTCTCAATCTATTCTCACTAACACTTGCCGGCTCCCCTCTTCGCATCTCTCTCTCTAACCGCTGCTGTCTCCACTTCTCGCCAACAACTCTCCAACAACAACTCAACTCTCCGTCCAAATCACCTAGCGTGTTATCCCCTTTCCAATCAGCCTTAATTAATTGCCACGTGCCTCGCTGGCATTTTCCCGCCAGCTCGCACCTGTCCAACGGCCCAGACTTCGTGACGCCGCCACTTAACGCTAACAGCCTCTCGACCAATCACAGACCTCGTGCCTTGACTCCCTTAATTACTTTGGCTTGCTTACGCTACCCGTGACTTCACCACCTGCCCGACCTTATATGACCCACACTGTATGTACTGTATATGGCCAATTTACCCATGTGTATCTTCTACTCAACTACACAGGTAACGAGCTAAGATTAGGAGCACACTCTTAAAGGGAGTGCTCTGTATCTCAGCTTGTTACCTGTATAAAAGACACCTGGGCGCCAGAAATCTTTCTGATTGAGAGGGGGTCAAATACTTATTTCCCTCATTAAAATGTAAATACATTTATAACATTTTGACATGCGTTTTTCTGGATTTTCTTGTTGTTATTCTGTCTCTCACTGTTCAAATAAACCTACCATTAAAATTATAGACTGATCATCTCTTTGTCAGTGGGCAAACGTACAAAATCAGCAGGGGATCAAATACTTTTTTCCCTCACTGTATAAGGGTTTGAAATGGGCTTAGCCCAAATGTCAGCAGCCAATGATAATGTAAGTGGTGGACAGCCAACCTGATGGTGGTTGGGTTTCCACCAATCAAACGGCTGCCAGGTGAAAATTAGCATGTTAAAGAGAGATTAGCATGTTAATGGGAGATTGTAGCGCCGGAATCAAGGGGTCGGCGCGCGAAGTGGCTGTGAAAGCGCAAGTTTGAAATGGGTGTAAAGCACAACTAACACCGGAAGGTGGTAGGATGGGAACATCATAGCCAATTATGACTTAAACTGGTTGATAACGTCCTTCCAATGATTGCTCAATTTGTACCCATCTTCTCGGTGGAAATTTTGTCTGTGTCTGTATATATGGATGGCTTCATGAACGAATCATTGTTGATAGCCCACCGCATTAATACAATGATCAGCCACGGCCGAGGTATTGGTCCTACCGTGGTTCAGATCTGCCATATGTTCACGAGCACGGTCCGAGACATGTCTCTTAGTTTCCCCAATGTAACTACTGCTGCAGATACAGCTTAATTTGTAGATGCCAGGGTATTGCATGTCAGGGATCACATCCTTCACAGATGGGATCAAATCACGATTTTTATGTACTGTGTTAAATCGAACCTGGATCTTGTGTTTGCTCATGATTTTGGAAATATTTTTAGTAACCCCTGCTATGTATGGCAAGGTGATGGTTTTGATTGGGTCCTCAGATGGTTCTTTCCCAACGGTTGGGGTGATAGCTTGACAGATTGTGTAGTCTTGAGTATCCATTCGTCTTGAGAGCTTGGTGTACGTGTTCTAGTTCACTGGTTAGGTGATGATGGTGGGAAATACATCAAGCTCTATGGTGTAGAGTTTTGATGAGGGAATTTTTCTGGGATGGATGGTGGTGGGAGTCAGGTTTTAGGTAGGCATCCATATGGGTGACTTTCCTGTAGACAGAGTGGCCCATTGAGCCATTTGGTCTCTTTTTGATTGAAACATCCAAGAATGGTGACTTGCTATCCTTTTCCACCTCCATGGTGAATTTGATGGCTGGGTATATGGAATTGATGTGGTTGAGGAATTGGTTCAGAGCTGGTCGGCCATGTGGCCAGATGACGAACGTGTCATCTCGGTACCTCTTCCACAAGGATGGACGTAGAGTGGATGCCTGGATGGCATGTCTCAAAAATTTCCATGAAAACATTGTCAACAACTGGAGATAAGGGAGAACCTATTAGGGTACCTTCAACAATATCATGTAAGCCCACCGCATTAAAACAGTGATCAGCCACGACAGAGGTGTTGGTTCTGCGATGGGCTCACGTGATATTGTTTTTTTCCGAGACCAAGGTACTCTGCAAACCATCCAGATATATGAACACAGACAAAATTTCAACCAAGAAGATGGGTACAAACTGATTAATAATTGGAAGGACGTAATTAACCAGTTTAGGTCATAACTGGCTGTGATGTCCCCTTCCTGCCCGCCTATGTTAGCAGCTTCTCTCGACTCTCTGAGTCACAGAGTCATATTCACACGCAGACCCTTCTTAGCTTTGCCCCACCCCCTCTCTCTCCTCCTGCCGCCAATCCCTCTGTAAAATAATTAATGAATGACAGCTGTGCACAGCCGGGCGCCGGAAAGCGTGGCATTGACTGAGGATTCGGACAGAGGGATTTGCGTGGGAAAGGAGCGAAAGAGGAAAGTTG